TCAGGAAGTTATCTAGTCTAAGCCCCTGCACAATGCAGGACTGTCTCCAATTAATGGTCAATGTTATGACTGGCTGTGGGGTTAGAGAGTGAACTGATCAAATCTGTAGAAAACATGAAACTGGGATGAAACACTTTGTAGGATAGAATTAGAATGTAAAGGATTCTTGATAGATTGGAGGACTGCTATAGATAACAAAATGAAATTGTGCAAAAGGAAATGTAGCATGTCACAAATAGGAAAGAAAAAACAAAAATATAGAATTGGGGATAACTGCTGCTGGCAGCAGCACTGGTAAAAAGAGTTGTGTGGGGGGGCCGGGTTTATGGCAAATCAGACTCGAAATGGGTCAGTACTGTAATACTGTGATAAAATAAAGAAATGCAATGTTATGCTGTATTAACAAAGAATTATATCCAAGGCATCAGAGGTGATTGTCTTACTTCACTCAGCACTTGTTAGGCCTCAACTAAATGCCCAGTTTGAGAGAAGGGAAGAGAAACTGGAGAGGCTTCAGAGTGAGCAATGAAGATGACAAGGGGTTGGAAGGCATGCCATGTGATGAAAGATTGAAAAAAATATATACCTTTAGTTTCAAGAAAAGGAGATGCATAGGAGAACAAGATAACATTTGTCACATATTGAAAAGAATACTATAAAGACAACAGAAAAAAATATAGTCTCCTTTACCACAGATGAGGGTTTAAACTACAGAACAGCAGAATTAGATCAGCCAGCACCGCACCACCTTGCCCAGACCCACTCTCTGTTTTGTTTAGGTGATATATTGTTTGACTCTAAGTAGATAAAAAGTGACTACAGGGCTCTGGGTGCAAGGGCTCAGGAGATGGGGCCTAAGGATGCATTCATTCATTCATTCATGAATTTAATTTAATCCTGAAGGATTAAATTGTATACTTTCTTAGTAAATTTGCAGAAGACACCAAGCTGAGTAGGTAGATGCTTTGGAAAACAGGATTAGGATACCAAATGGCCTTGCTAAATTATTTGGATAAAATTCAATAAAGGTAAGTGCAAAGTTTTGCACTTAGGACAGAACAACCAACTGCATAAAGACAAATTGGGGAAGACTGGTTATGCTGCAGTACTGTGGGAAAGGACATGGGGGTTATAGTGGACTGTAAGATGATTACAAAAATAACCAGCAACATATTGGGATTTATTAACAAAAGTATCACACGCATGTCATGGGAAGTGATACTTCTACTCCCAGGGCTGTCCAACTGCTGGCCTGTATGCTGTGTGTAGCTCTGAGGGAGCTGTGGGTCCCAGGCTGGTTACGATTCCTTGCACCACTCTGGTGGTGACTATTGCTGACAGTCTCCAGGCTCCCTCTCTCTTCTTCAGTTTCTGCTTCCTGTTGTCTCTGAAGGCGAGGCTGAAGAAGCCGATGGCTGGATGGCTCAGGGAGAGCCAGAGATCTTGTGTGGCACAGCATAGGGCACTAGCACATTACAGCAGAGCCCCTTGCTGTGTAGCACAGTGGGAGGGACATGGTGCAGTATGCAAGGTGCTGAGATGGTACACTGGGGAGCATGCATGCCCATGGTGCTGGGGTGTGTGTGCCTGTGTTGCAGGGGGAGGGAAACATGGTGTGATGGGTGACCCTGGCATGTTGCCCACGTAACATGCAGCTTGGGAGGTGTGTGGCCCATGAGGTGTGGCCAGAGGCCCCAGGGCCCCCCAGTCACTCAGACCAGGGGCAGCCCTGGTCTACTATACTGAGCAGTGGTGAGGCCTTACCTGGAGAACTGTATCTAGTGTTGGGATCCATACTTCAAGAAAGACTTGGAGAAAAAGTCTAGCAAGGAGCAGCAAGTGACTGGAAGTCTAGGAAACATGACTGACAAGGAAAGTTTGGAAGAACTGGGATTACATAGCCTGTGGAAGAGAAGACTGAAGTGGGATTTGATATAGCAGTTTTTAAATACATATAGAGGATGTTGATAGAACAGTCTTGGTGTCCACAGGGCCAGGAAAAGAAGTAATAGTCTTAAATTTAGGTTGGATATTAGAAGAACATTCTGGTTATGCTAGGCTGGTTAAGCACTGAAACAGATTACCTAGAGAGACTGTGAAAGCTCTGTCAGTGGAAGTTTTTAAGGGTAGGTTATATAAATACTTGACTAGGTGGCTTAGACAGAGAGAAATCTGCTTCTCAGTAAGGGCTTAGACTAGCTGACCTCTGCAGGTCCCTTCTAGATCTATTTTTTTTAAAATTTTGATTTCATTCAGTTGCAATATTAGGCTGAGTTAAACATGGAAAAAGATTCTAGTGTCCCTTTATAGCACTTTCTTGTGCTGAGGGGTATGCAACTGCTGATCAGCACATTGAAGCTCTGTCAAGGATTGTGTTTGAGGAAGGCATGCTGCCTTCTGAAGCTCTGGGAATGCAAGGGCCACTTTGCCATTCTTTTTGCAAGGTGTAGCATTCACCTCATTGCACTGAAGCAGTTCCCACAGAGCTCTTGGGAAGCAGCAGCCAACTTTCCCCCTCTTCTGGGTCTTTTGGAGAAGTGAGTTCCAGCTGCACTGGCCTCACACAGAAATAGTATTTCAAGTGCAATGAGATATGGGGGAGACTCCTTGCCTCCTCACCACCACCTTGCCCTCCAAAGACTGGGTATTATTTAGTACTAAAGAAAATACTGGTATAGATTCAGAGCAGGGACATTCCAGTTCTAACTAGAGGACTGGCTAATTCTGGAGCATTCAGATTCCTCACAGGAAGGTAAGGAAAACCAAGCTGCAATCATTCAGCCTGTGAACTTGAGTAAATCACAGTAATTGAGCAAATCCCCAACACTAGTAGGGGAATGCTTGTAGGGCCCTTTATGTTATCAAGTAGTCTCACATCTGTGAGGAGGGGACCTTTGGGCTGTGGACAGAATGGCTATATGATGAGAACCTGTCAGCAGTTATAACCCGAAGTGGCACAGCACACATCAAAAATATGGTTCAAGGAGCAACAAACAGCATCTATTTGAAGACACTATGCACATTGCTCTGTTATTTCTGCTGCACCCATGCAAATAACAAGCATCATTTTATAGGTTCACTTTGGTGGTCTAGAATCTAACCTAGGCAGGCAAACAGGCAAACTTCGGCCTTGTTTGCCTGTGCTAGTTAGTGTGTTGCCCACATTGTGTTCTGGTGACATCACCTGGTCCATCGGGCAAATCTTCCGGTGGTGTAAATTGCCATAACTTTGTTTCATTCCCCTACTAGTGTGCCACTAGACTCCAGTTGGGGGTCTGGCCTTCCCCGTGTCTTGTTTGTTGCATAGTTTTGCTAACTCTAGAACAGACAAAGCTAAAAACCTAAGAAATGGAAATGGAAAAAACTTAGCAGATAAATACAGAAAAAGCAATAGCCAGTTGACCCAAAGTATTTAAGGTCTAGCTAAGAAGTGGCTGTGCAGCTCAGCCTAAACTTTTCTTGAGGCAGGATGGCCTTTACTACCATTTGTGTGTGGAGATTCAGGTAGCTGAGGCTGGGTTGGCCAGGTATGCTGTTAGCAATTTATCTTGGAAACAGCTGATCTGGTGCTGTTACCTCTTTCATCTGATGCCAGTTATGATGGATGCAAAGCAGACATCAACTGTGAATGTATAGTGCCAGCCTTCAGTACCCATAAAATAAGTATCTCCGTGTACTTCACTAAATGCTCTTCAGCAAAATACAAAATCCTTACCAAATCTTTTGCTTTGTTTTCATTTGCTCCTTTACTTTCATTCATTATATTTCCTTAACACATTTTAAATTGTTGTATATTTGTTTAACAAAGTCCTATTTTTTCTCTCCAGTGACTGTTTTGTGTCTTTATTCTGTGTCTCCCATTTTTGCCTAATTCTGTTTTCCCCATTTCCTTAAGTTTCTTTCATACTCTGCTCTGCTAAAATTCTTCCAGCTTATACACATGCTACCTCATTATATACATTGCTTAAAGGGACATATTGAAAGGAATGAAGCAGTCCCCACCAGCGCACAACACTAAGACTCAGCTCTATAGGAGCAAATTGCATTTTTCCTGAGGGAAGGGTTATGCAGGATTGTGTCTGTCTTGCAGTACACAGTAGTCTATTGCTGTTGAATCATTTGTTCTTTCTGATGAGTTGTTTTCCGTAGGTAGAAAAACCAGCACAAAAATGTTAAAAGAACATTGGCATTGCAAAGTACAGTACCTAAAGTCAAGGGCTGGTTGTACAGCCCTAGCTGTACCAATTGACACCAATGGAATAAGGTTCATACCTACTTAATACCCTACATCAGTCTCTCTGGGATGTGCGGGGGGTTTACTGCTGTCACTGAGACAGGAATTTAGGGAGAATGCTGCTTTGTTTCAGTCCAAATTTACTGCAAAGTGGAGTGACTGGCTAAGATTAGGAGATGTCAGGTGTTTCCAAAATATGAACCAGAATTAAATTTTTGTTGACAACATTACATACATTAGCAAATATGGTTGTAAATTCAGGGACACTCCCATACATGACACTGGGTTACAAATTTGCCAGCTGTTTGTTCCTCTTTTTTCCAAACAGTGTCTCCATTCGCAGTAAAGAACAATGTACTCTCTCCCATACTTGTTGCTTTTCATCAAACATGCTGCATGTTAATATAATCCTACCTGTTACTTTGACTCCAAATCACCCTCACTGAAGCCTATTAATTACTTCAATATTTAGCTATTCCTGCCTATGTTACTGTCAGTTAGCTCCCGTTTTCACAAACCTGGAGTATAGAGCTATTGTTACAGGCACTTTATGAAGGATAAGATTATCTGGATGGGTCAAAAGAATGTGTTTTTCAGTTACTCCTTTAACATACAAGCTATTCCCTATTTTGAAGATCTGCTCTGCAGATCAAAATTGCTGAAGAGCATGGGTATCAATATTACAAAGGCAGATCAGGCTCTAATCTGTGGAGAGAATAGGGTTGTTTAGCACCAATTCATGAAAAAAGAAAACAAGTCATATTACGTACAATATTCCTTTATTTTTCAGAGGGCTTCACATGATCACAAGACAATGTATTTTTCTAATCTTGAAGCCAGCAAGATTAAAACCTATTAGTTTTTCCATCCATAATTTTTATATTTAGACTGTCTTTTGTGAGACGAAGAGTCCTATTCTACTATGAATGACAATACAAGCAGACAGTACTTACACAGATTTTTTCTAAACTGAAAGATGTCAAATAATTATATATAGTTCTTCACTAATGTAATATGCTACAAGGAAAAATATTCAGCTGCAACTACATAGCTTGTCAGTTATTGAACTCTTTCCTATGTTGCACTAGCGCAAATATTTACTTTCTATAGTATGCAACTTCTTTATTCCTTGTAATAAGGTCCTTTAGAATGGAGTTCTTTTGGAAACACCACACACAGATTCAGGCAGTAGGAGTTCCTAAAAGAGTTTCAATGAACATTCATGACAGGCTTAAGGGATTTTACCTATCTATCCTTGCTTTGCCTGTATTTGAACCTCTTACCTGAGTTAAGAAACGACCTGGGACACCTAGATAATACTCATCTGTAAGTTCCTAGCAAATGCTCCTAACCAGCTGGACTAGATGCCTCAGTGTATCTGCTGGTGAACTGAACGTGCCACATCTACAGTACTGGTGAGCCAGCTGGTGAGCCTCTGCCTGCCCAAGGTTCAGAAGAGCTCGAGCATGGTTTCCCCCTAACAAGCCCTATCACTGAACTGGCCTGATAGCTTTCACACAGACTTAATGCCTTTATAAAATACTTCTTTTTGTAAAACAGGATAACAGTATTTTCAGAGAGGTATTTACTTCAAACTATTGTGCTACGCTTTGTAAATGTGGTTTGAAAAATAAAATGTAAATAAGATTTTAAAGTTAAATATGTGTGAACAACCTTGGTCCAATCAATGTTCCAACTCATTCCACTGCAAAACAGGATAAAATAGCACAACTTCAAGTATTTCTCTGACATAGTACATAATGAAAAATAGATCCTAAGCTCTATGGTATTGTATTTTTAAATGACTTTGCATAAATGTTATGATATACAGCAGGAGAAGAGTGTAGTGATGATACAGCACACCATTAGTAATTACACATTGACTTGAATGTAAATATCTTCAACGAAAAAAGCAACCATCTAAGATAACTGTTCTTTCAAGTGCTTTAGCAATAAAATGAACAGTTATCAAGGTTTAGACAAAACAAACAGATGGGAGAAAAACAGTACAACATAAATTTCAATAAATATATGTAAATACAGTACTGTTAGTTATTCAGACACAAAACAAAAGACATGGAACCTTTTAAAGCAAAGAATACACTCAACAAAATGCAGCATAAAGAAAGGGTGCTAAATTCTGATCTCTATTACAGAGGTGTAACCTGTTATAATAGGGCAGAATCTGGCCCCAAATCTACACAGAGCACAGGAGTGTTACAATACACAAACTAAATATACATATTTAAATAGTTGCCCCATTTCTGTTCAGGACAGTCCATTTTCTTTGCTACAAACAGCAAACAGTTGAGAGACTAATTTGTGAATTCTCAAATGCCAGTTTCTTCCTATGACTTCACATAGCCTATTTCTATATCTAACTTTAAAAGTATGTAAAAACCTTGCAGTCAATCAAGTTACATATTTAAGATGAACATTTTGACACCTTATTTTGAAGACATTTCACATTGTAAATAGAATCTCCAAAGGACCGTGCCATTGTCATTCCTGAAGAGGGAAGATTTTTGTATATGCTTTTTACATATTTAAAAAAAATTAAAACTTGCTGGTGCTTTATAATATATTTATAATTTTTCCCTTTCCTGTGGCTTTCTGGTATTAGAAAATGCCCTTGTAAACTGCTCCCATGATTTATCAGCTGCAGTTTATATATTTGGTAACATCTAGACAGTTCATAAAACCCCTTTAGAATGTTACAGAGGAACATGCAAGGGAGCTTTTATAAATACCCTATGTAAAATAAGATATGATCTATATACAGATGTGCTTTTTATTCACTAAAATATTTCTACAACTCTTAAAATTATTCTTTAAAGCCAGGAATGTATATTTGAATTGCATTGATAAGTTGCAAGATATAGGCCGAATAATATAATGCATTTTATCAGATTTTACCAAAAAAATAAAAGGTAAAATGAATGACACTATGTTATTACCTTCCAGGATTTAATCACATGCATTTATAGAATAATTCTATCAAAGTGGCCTTGTCCAACTGACACTACAGAGGCCTCATTTTGATCTACTCCAATCATTTTTTCAATGCTAAGTACAATACTTCATAACACCTACTTACTATTGTAGCACATCCATTAAATTCTCTTTTAAAAATACATTGGACATCAGTCATTGTAAAATGTAAGCCAATTCTTCCTCCCTACCACACATAATTCAGATTAAGCTACTCTGAACTATAACCTGATGATGCACCAAAAATTATAATCCTTAAAGAGTAGATAGGTGGAATAAAATATTTCTAAAATTATACTGTAACCATCAAAAAAAATTTCCAATTTTAAATATTTATAACAATGGTTGAAATGCATAGTTACTCATAATAACAAACTTTTTAACGGCATGGAAGGATATCTATGATAATAGTTCATTTGAACTCAAGTTGTAAGCAGTTTCATCTTTATAGTTCTCTATTCCTCTTGCAAAGAGTTTTACTAACTGACAACGAACCCTGCAAAAGCAAAGCAAGACAAAACAAAACAGTTATTTGAAGTCTCTTTTACTAACAAGGATCCACATTTTGTATGTCCTAATATGGATTCATTGGGCATTCTAAGCACCTGGACCAAAAGGGCTACACTGCAGGCCACATAACTCTCTGTAAATGGGTAGCAGGATAGAAAGTGGAAAAAACAGCTGAATGGTGGAACAGCATGTTCACACTGCACTGTGCTGCCCAGTGAGGAGTCTATGGGAGTCTTGCAAGTACATGAATTTGATAGATCACAACTTTTTATGAAAGTCATTAATGAAACAATACATGAGTCTTGTTTAATGGAGATATTATATGAAAAGACCTCTGCATTTCTGGTTCCTTTTACCAATTTCAAAAACAATCTCCTACTTCCCAATACTCCCACTCCTACCAGATTTTATTATGAATAACAATCTCAAAATGAGGCATATTTGAAGGATACAAGCATAGAACCAAAAACATGTCTTAAGATACTTCTATGACTGAAAATATGGCATTAAATAATTAATATAAGGATTTGTCTATGCAAATATTATATAACTTTCCAAAGGTTTAACTAGCTTTGGTTGATGAGTGCACTTAGTATTCACTAACCCACTGTGAGAACTGACTGTGCTTTTTGTATCCTTTTTGTCAAATCCTAGGTATGGTGGAAGTTACTAATAACCCTATAAGGTTTTATGTGAAACAAAGAGAGGGCTGGAATCATCTTTTCTAAGCAGTTCTGTTTAGGCACATTTGCATTCAATTTTACTTAGTAGTCAAGTAGGCCCATAAGATAACCTGAAATTACCACCCATTCACTGAAATTCTTGTTAGGATTTGATCTGATTCTGCTTTTACATACAATTTAATGAATTCTCTAGTATGTAAAGGACATGTTTAAATGTTCCTGTATAATACCTGATTTTAAAAACATTTTATGCATTAAAACCCCCCCACAAAACCTTTTTAGTAGCTGTCAAATGTTGTTACATAGTAACTTTTTAAAACGTCAAAGACAGGACTTTAAATATCTTAACATGATCCTCCTGCTCTACACTGTATATGGATGGAAAGACAGGTACTTACTTGACTTCAACAGCTGAACTATCCAATGTTTCACCATCACAGTTCCAGGTGCTGTTAACCAGATTGCAGCAACAGGCTGGATGATCACTGCAGAACTGACCAAAACGTTTTTTTCCTACATCCTTGATATCACTTTCATTGTCTTCCAATTGCTTTGACATAAACTGAAACCTTTTCACCCGATAAACATCTACAAATGGGAAGTCAAACTGCAAAGAGAAATTAAAAAAGGACTTTTATAACAGAAAACAAGTTAGTTTTCAGTGATTTTTTCTGCTCAAATTTTTCATCTAGGTTAATATAGGAATAGTGATTTTAAAAAAATTACACAACACTCAATATTTAATTTCACAGTAAAAATACAAGATGTCCTACTTTTCAGTCCTTTGCTTTCACCTCTAAAACACCTCAAATGGCTACCGGTTGTTACGAGGCTGCAAGGCTGCAACATCCTATCTCTATGGATAAACTGGGGAAAAGTTTTGAAACTATGGATGAGAAGGGTCCCAAAACTGTTTTATGTTGTATGATGCAGTCACAAGGGGGTTGAGATTCATTGCTCTACTAACTTATTTATTGTTCTCCAATTCTTATGCACTGAATTCTGTGAAATCCCATTCCTGCAAGCCCCCCCCCCCCACTGTAGGATCTTCCATGAGTAGGCTTTATCCAGAGAAGTCCATGGCAGTATCATCCTGCTATCAGGATCTGGGAAGTGTGGAGAGCTAATAATATGCTCCAGTGGAGTAGTACCTTCTTAACTAGGTAACCCCAGTGGAAACTAGCATTGTAATTACAAGTGCCCCAATTATCAAAGACTAACATGATTACGTTGAGATTGTAAAAGTGTCTAAAGTGCTTTAAAATAAGCTTTGTACACCAAGGAGAAATCAAGTTGCTAGGTACCCTCATATCACAAAAGGCAACTTAAAGAATTAGCCTAAATGCTTAAAAAGCCATAATAAGGTATGACTCAACTTGACAACTGACAAAGAGTTGGGAAAACAAAAAAGTGAGCACAGGAATAGCTAAACATTTAAACACTAGTAAATATCATAATATCAAATATTACTGTCTATACCTATACTGAAACATAGGCAACCAAGAGGTTTAATTTAAATCCGTTTCTCTCAGGTTTTATATCATGCTCGTCAGCATGGCATCTGAGCACCTAATTCAGTGTTACGCAATAATAAGCTGCATGTACATAAGATGTTGACTGTGCAGTTGTTACTGCAGTTATTTAGTAGTTGCATACCCAGGTACTAAATGACTGCAGGGTAACCAGAACTACTGTGCAGTAGTGTCCCCGCATGGCTTTGTGGCAACGCTGACTGTGCAGTCACTCATTCCTACTGTGCAGTAGCGTTATGTCACAGTTCATGCCCAGCAATGCCACTACACAGTAGTACCAAGCTATTGCACAGTAAGCATCTCAAGTAGGTGCGACCAGAGGGTGCTAGACTAATCCAGGGACAGCACAGCAGAGGAGACAAATGGAAAGTGCTCCTGGGCATAACCTTCTGGGTCTGGCAGTAGAAAGGACAGAGTACTGGGGATAACTGTCTGACCCTGGAGTCATTCTGACCCCCAAGGAAAAAATGCTTCTGTAAGGAAGATGGTAGCAGCTTACAACTTGCACTCACCTCCTGCTCATGCTGTGGTTCTTACAGACTTAGAACTGGAAAGGTCCTTCTGCATCACTGAATTTGGTTGTCTGCTACCACAGGCACCCGAATCATAGACACCCTTTAATAAAGTGATCAAGCTCCAGTGGAGCTCATGAACACAGGGCTCAGAGAGTAGTTTGCTAGATCAAGAGACTTAGTTCCATAAGCTTGTTTCCATGACCCCACAAAGCCAACAATGCATGCTTGAGCACTATGCAGCCTTCTGATAAGTGGTGGAATACGGATAACCACCAGGTAAGGAGTAAAATTGTTTAAAACATAAAGCAAAGACCAAATGTGAGATAAGCAAAAAAAGCAAATGGAAACAGAAAGGGGGAGATAGAGAATGGACAAAATAAAAATCATACACAATTATGTTCCAGGGTTTGGTATGAGGCAATACAGGAGTATGTAATAATAACTATTAAACTATGGTGGAAAGAGGAGTGAAAACCACAAACAAACAGGTGGAATTACTTGAATTTTTTTTATAATAAGGCACATCATTGATCTGTTCTTCATTCAGTCATCAGAACACGTAGCATTAAAACTGTATGTCTAGCAATCATATCAGTTAATGAGCATGCCAGCAGCTACAGCTACTTCAGCAGATCCTACGTGCTACAAAAAACATGTTCATTGCCCTTGGAATTCATTCTAAACAGGTGTAGAAGCACAGGAGGAATTTTGATGTAGGATATATAATTCATTGTTGATTACTTGCTATCACCGAAGTTCTTGTGGAAACCTACCATAACCAGATTAGAGTTTGATAACTATGTTCTGTTAAGCTATGTTCTTTATTTATTTTCTTATGAATGAATTATTCTCCCATTTCCTGTGTTGAACAGTTATATAATACTGCTGTGGGCAATTTTGCATCCCAGAAGCTAATGCTCTTTAGCATCTGGTGACAAGCGCAGACTTGTGTGCACATGCAGGAACTTTGTGATAAAAAGGATTTTAAACAGTGCCCAACAGAAACCGTAGAAAATTTTTTAGAAAGGACTAATTTAAGTACCAAAATCAGAATTTGGCTAAGATACAATGTTTTATATGAAATATTCTGAGATTTCTGGTGGCCACATGTGGTTGTAATACTTCAGCCAATACATCATCATTCTTTTCTAATCAGTACTACCACTGATAATTTGTGCCAGGTAAAAAATTCAATGTGTTGACATCACACATGCCTTATCTGTATCACAGCCCTAAGAAAACACATACCTGATCATCCTGGTTTGTATGCCTGACAAGATACCGCAGAAAATTAAATCTGGAGCATTTGCGAACTAGAATGAGGTCAGCAGAGCCATCAGCCAAGTGAGCTGCTGGTGAAAGGCCTTTTGGACTCCGTGGACAAGCACAGCTCATGTTTACTGCATTGATAGCTAAAAACTTTCCTTTAATAACTTTCCATTCATCTTCAACCTCTGAAACAGACACATAAGAAGCATGTAAGACCCAGGAACCAGAAAAGGATTTAGGAACCACAGTACTTAACTTTTAAGTGCCTGGACCCAGATTTAAGAAAGAGATTTATGTGCACTAGTTGCTTTTTAATCAGAATTTATGTACCTTTTCTCTAATGTGATTCAGCTAAGTGCTCCGTAACTGTTTCTGTATGTGAAGTCCAAGGTGTTTCAGCGTGGATATATATGTTCTAGTGCTTAGGTAAAAAAGGGTTGAGGCATTTAGAAGCTATCATGCATGATTGAGATGTGCATATTGTAAGAAATTAAGTGCACCTTAATCCTGAGTTTCCCCCTGTGACTAGCATTTTGCCTGATTAGGGCTTCTTTTAAGATATAAGGATTTGAAGCCCCTTTGAGAACCTAAAACCCAAATTGCCCACTTCCTAGAAGAGTATTTTGACCACTAGGCCTCCAATTCTTATGATGCCTCTCGTGCCAGTGATTTTGAATGGAAGTGGTTGACTGTCATGTTTTGCGTTAAACTCAATGTTCTGGTGTGCACTAGATGAGCTTGGAGCATGCATGTAGGTTATTTAGGTACTGCTCTACCTAACTCCTGCATCTAGATAGGTTTTAAGAGGAGATTGGGCAGGACTGCATGTACTCAGAAGGGAGTACCTGCAAGCACCGAAGAGAGGGTTCTTGTGAGTTTAGGCAGCTGCTGAACAGCAAGGCTTTGTACTGCTATTTTAAACTTAGTTGCCAAAACAGGGTTTAAATGACCTTTAGGTGCTTAAGTCCATGTTTTTCCACCTGGGTTAGGTAACACCTTACATTAAGGGATGGCAGCTTTTTCCAGTAATGTGCTGCAATGACTCAGTTTGGGTCAAAGGTGGGCTGGCGCTAAGGCAGAGCTGCCACCACTTTTCCCTGCCACTACTTCTCTCACAGTACAGCACTGCATAGGCAAAGGCCTCACTGTTAAAGCCTCAGTTCTACGGGTGGGATCTAGCCTGTGACCCACAGGCTGCTGACTGCTGCCTTATGTGATCTACTTACAGGATGAGTAAGACTCAACCATTCTTAGCAAGTTTCACCTTCTAAATAAATAGTATAATCCTTTATTGATACATATATGACATACTTTTTTATTTTACACACACACAATATTATACAAGTATTACAAAGCATTCAAATTTGACGTATTTTATATAAATATATATATTTCTTACTAAGTACCAGATTGATACCTGATCTTCTTTCAAATACTTCTTTGACAGTTCTGTCACATGGGTATCAAATTCAGATCCCACAAATTCAAAATTCATGGTCTTTGGCTACATCCACCAAAAAAGGAGAGGAAAAACAGCACCACAAGTACAAAAGGAAACCGGGAAGGAAGTTTTTTGCAGAATTTTGTTTGTTCTACTTTTAACGTTTTAGTTTGGATAAACAAGGGATCCACATGCCTTGGATGTTTTGTTTTTCTTTCAACTCAATGTTAATTTTTCTCCGGGCTACAATATATATATTTTAAAAAATTAAAAACGTTTCCTGGCACCTGTAGCTGAATGGGATTTACTAACAGTAAAATCTGTCTCAGTGAATTTATTAGGATTGTAATATTGTACATGTTACTGGAAGACAAACAGCAGAGCAGCTTGTTTTCATCAACAACAAATTTTGGCAGTATCAGATAACTAGATTTTGCTTAATGTGTGGTGTCAGCAGTCCTACTAACAGGAAGCAGTATTCTTTTCTAGAACACTGGACTGTCACAAGATGATGTGTGAAGATACTATCACGAGGAACATTTTTCTAGAGACCTAGAGAAAGCAACATTATGGAAGACTATGGTAGAGAATGTCAAAGGACATGTTAAGGAACCAGCAAAGAAGGCAGACCTTGATTATCAAATTCCTTGTTAAGCAGAATAACAGACTCCATGTATGTTATACAAATACAACGTGTACAGCTGAATATCATAGGACAATTCTACTAGTAGAGAATCAGTATTCAGGGGTTCAGCTCCCTAACTAGTTTACTTTGTTACTTACTACCAAGAAAGATCTTATTTTCTTTATTTTGCCGTTCAAACACAAAGCGCATATTTTATTCCCAGGTGTGTTATATGTGAGAAAATACGATATTCTCTAATGTATTTTTAAAATTCTGTAATCTAAGGATATTTTCTCTACCTGCACAAATAAAAACTAAGCCAATCATGGAGCTTTTATTCTAACACAGTACCTCATGCCTGTGTTGACATCTTACGGAATAGATCTTTTCCAATTTAGAAAGTAAAGAGGAGCATAAAATGTCACTTTACAGCCTAGAATGTTCCGTTTGCTCTGTAAATGATTTTTAAAACTTATTATATTATTTCAGTTCTTGGATCTTTCCATTAATCAAAGCTCTTGGGCCACTGATCTAAAAGAACTATAACTCCAGCATGTTAAAAAGGTTAGATTGCTACAAAAGCATCAGAGCAGACTCTTGTTCAGTAGGAACTTTATTCCAACCCCTTCTAGAACTGCCCTCTTGCTTCTTTTTCCATCCCTTATAAGCTGATTAGTTAGCTAATAATTAATAAGGAAATACACTTTTGATAAATTCAACAGCGTGCAAATCATTTGCCAAAAGCAATTTTCAGTACCAGCTAGTTCTCGGTTAATGACAGCCTTCATTTATGCTGCTTTTTTTGTAAAAAGAAAGCATAATTCAAATCTATTTCAAAATCTGTAAACAAAAGAAAATTTGATAAGGAAAACTGGCAGTTTCTTAGTATTTTAATTTGTCAGAAGGGTAGTGGTTTCCTTCTTTGAATACAGAGCTACTGTCATTAGAGTCAGATTCTTAACTGCATAGAGGTATAGTGCAGGAATAGTCTTCAAATCAATGCTCTGCCTGGGTGCCTGCCAAAATGAAGAAAAAAGATGCAAGACACCAAATGCCAGACAGGGTTGCAAATGCTCTTAGAATCATAGGAAATTAGGGTTAGAAGAGACCACAGGAGGTCATCTAGTCCAACCCTCTGCTCAAAGCAGGACCCTCCCCAACTATATCATCCTAGCCAAAGTTTTGTCTAGCTAGGCCTTAAAAACATCTGAGGATGGAAATTCCACCATCTCTCTGGGTAACCTGTTCCAGTGTTTTACTACCCTCCTAGTGAGAGAGATTTTCTTAAAATCTAACCTAAACTTCCCTTGATATCACTTGAAACCATTGCTTTTTGCTCTGCAACTGAGAATAGTCTAGCTCTATCCTCTTTGGAATCACGTAGGTTCATAGATTTCAGACATTTGGGCTGGAAGGGACCCCGGAGGATCGAGTCCAGCCTCCTGCCCCAGGGGCAGGAAGTCAGCGGGGATCATAGGATCCCAGCAAGATAAGCATCCAAATGTGTCTTGAAGGTGTTCAAAGTGGCTGCGTGAACCACTTTCGGCAGCAAGCTATTCCAAACCTTGGGTGCTCGGACAGTGAAGAAGTTCTTTCTTATGTCCAGCCTGAATCGGTCACAATGGAGTTTGTAACGGTTCGATCTTGTCACCCCTTGGGGGGCTCTGGTGAACAGTCATTCCCCCAGATCCTGATGAACACCCCTGATAAACTTATAGGTGCCCATCAGATTGCCCGAGCCTGTGCTTTTCCATGCTAAAGAGCCCCATGGCTTTCAGCCTGTCATTGTAAGGTCTGTTTTCCTGACCTCTGAACATGCGCGTGGCTCTCCTCTGGACTCTCTCAAGTTTCTCCACATCCTATTTGAATTGTGGAGCCCAAAACTGGATGCAGTACTCCAGCTGCGGCCTCACCAAGGCCAAGTACAAGGGGAGAATGACATCTCAGGATCTACTTCAGAAGCATCCATGGATGCAAGCCAGCGTTTTGCTCGCTTTACTAGCTGCAGCATCACACTGACGGCTCATGTTCATCTTGTGGTCAACCATGACCCCCAAGTCCCTTTAATCTGTAGTGCTAACCAGCGTAGCACTACCGAGCCTATAAGCATGGTGCAGGTTTTTCCTCCCAAGGTGGAGAACATTGCATTTTTTGGTGTTGAACACCATCAGGTTCTCGTCCACCCATTTCAAGAGTCTGAACTTTAATGCTAATAAAGTACAAAACTGGAGGCACTTCAGATTCCAAGCTAGCAGTAGTTAAGTCTTGTTTTGTGATCTTAACTCTGAGGCTAGGTACAGACATTCAAAAAGCCCAAGGCAGAATCAGGCTAAGTTACGTGATTTTTGGTAAATGGTGTACTTTAGATCTGTAGTGAACAAAACACACATTTGTCCTTTGATTGGGGGGGGCAAATCTTAGATTGGATTCCATCATTTTTAAACAAGTCTGTGTGTGCTGAACTTTTGTTCTGTTATGTTTATAGACCCATTTTGTAGGCTGAACTTCTGTTCTGTTATGGATATAGACCGGTTTCTGATCACTTACACTGGTAGAAGTTTAACGTCTGTACCTGACCTGAATGATTTAAGATTTAGCTGAAATACAAAATATGCGCCCTTCAGAAACCCGATGTATCCAACTATCTTAAGTATTAGTACACCAGGGAGTTAATTTGTTATGGCTTTTATGTAAAAAACAGCTCAGCTTGAACAAACATTGAATTCTCCACTGGTTTAAAATAATTTTTAAAAATTATATAGCTTTTAACAATAATTATTTTCTGGAGTACTGTACATTATTTAAGGGGTGTTGGTTGTAGCCGTGTTGGTCTAAGGCAGGGGTAGGCAAAATTCAGCCCGCCAACACTTTCATCTGGCCCATGGCACCCCTCGACAAACTGCACCCTGCCCAGACTTTCCGTCCAGGAGGATGGGAGCAATGCGCCCACTGTACACACAGCCCCAAACATACCCTATTGCCTTGCTCTGGCCCTTGTGGGTGGAAGGGCGCAACTTGGCCAACACGTAGCTTCCGTGTGCAGCTGCTGCTGCTGTAGACCCTGCGAACCTGCTCTGCTCTCCTGCTGGCTCTGGCCAGCAAGGAGGAAAGTGGTGGGG